GCATATTCTGCCTGCTTTCCCTATCTAATTTAATTGTTGAGTGAATATTTTTTAAAAGTAATTTCATTTTTACAATATTTAAATCATTTTTTTGCAGCAAAAAATAAATGAGGGAAGTTCTTGGTGGTTCCAGCATGTGACATGTTTCTTGCTAGAAGCTACACATACAAAGTTGGGATTAAGTCCTAAGGAAGTATAAGTAGGTATATGTAAATTCAGAAACTTTTTTTAAAAAAGTTTGTTTTGGAAAGTTTCAATTTAATTTTATTTATACAAATTGATTATAGTTCTGTCTGTTCTTAAATGGGTGGATATAAATCCTTGAAACAGCAGATATTCCAGAAGGAGGCAAGTTTATATCAGTTTCCCAATGAGTCTTAGATTTATTCCAATTGAGAAAGTGACATAAAATTGAGTGACATGGCAAAATATCCTGGTAAAAATATAAGATTTCTGAGGTCTCTTGTAATATTTGTGCACTGATGATATTACCTTCTCTAGTACTGAAGCATGCAAGATAACAGCAAGCTCAGAGAAAATCAAGAGCCAATAATACTGGAAAGGTTATATGAATATAACTTGTATTCCAGATGAGCACTCATATACTATGTGCATATACATACATCTACAGCAGTGGTGGGTTCCGGATCCTGGTGCAACTGGTATTGTGCAACGGGGCCCACCAGCCACCATATAAACGTGTGCAGTGCACGCACGCGCAGTGTGCACATGCACCCTTACCTTCTGCGACACTCCAGCTGCTCGACGGAGCGTTGCACAGGTGATGTATGCTCCGTGCGCAGAAGCACCGAAGAGCTTAAATACAGATAAGGATGGCGGGCGGCGGGTGTGCCCTTCGGAGCACTGTACCGGAATGGTACCCAGTGCTCCAGCAGGCACCGGTACACCCATACTAAGGCGTACCACCTGCAACCAACCACGTATCTATAGACAAAAGAAATGTCATGACCAGATCCGGAATATTAATGGATATCTGAGAAAGTGACAGGAAGTGACTAGGAGTGACAGTTTGGCAACAAATCCCAGTAATGGAATCTAGATTCAGGGATTCCTAGTAATTAGAAATGGGATGAGGATTTTCAAAATAGCAAAAAATTGTGAATTTCTCTGTAACAGTACTTAATATGAGATTTATTACATGTATATATCTGTAATTGGAAATACGCTTTTGTCATGCTGAACATTATGTAAGGAGGTAGATTAAACACTCCAAATGATATAGGAACTGAGCAGTCCATGAATAGATATACAATAATACAATAGCAGAGTTGGAAGGGACCTTGGAGNGTCTCTCTGCAAAAGGCTGCCTTGTTGGGGAGGTGGCTGTTTCGAAGGCGGGGAAGTGGGGGCGGACTGACGGTTGGGAGGGGCAGCTTCAGCCCTGTCTCCCTCCCGCCAGTGCAGGAATGCAGGGCCGGCTCACCCATCGTGCTCAGCCGTGGCGTGGCCGGTCGGAGGCTCTGAAGTTCAGCGTCCCCAGCCACGCGGCTTCTCAGTTGTGGCTTCAGCTCATCCAGGGACACAGCCAAGCCCTTCTCTGAGTCAGCCGACGGAGGAGCATCAGGCATGGCTCCAGCCTGCAGATCAAGCTCGCCTCTCCCTCTCCAAGCCCCCCTCCTAGTCTCCCCCCTCCTGCCCCCAAATGCTCTGCCACTAACCCAGCCCTTCCTGGCCCCCCAGAAGCCCAGTTTGGCAGAGAAAATTATTGGCACGAAAATATAAAGTTGGGATTGCTGAAACGCCACCCCGAGAACCCATCAGAGGAAGTAAATAAGCAGAGACAGAAAGGAGGGAGGATGAGGAGGGGAAGGAAGAGTGAAAGGGTAAAGCAGAGGAAGTGAGGGAGGGGAATTGAGAGTAGGAGAGAGGGTGAGGAGGAGGAGAAGGGAGGAGGAGGAGAGGGGGAAAGAGAGGGGAAGAAGAAAGGAGGGAGGAGAGGAGGAAAGAAGAAGGCAGAGAAGGGAGGTTGAGATATGGAAGGAGTAAGGTTGTTGCAAAATAAGATGGAGGCACAGTGTGGCAAAAAAAGTGACCCAAGCTGTATTATATATGCGTGTGTGTGTGTAAAAATAATCATAGAGTCTAATCTTGAACAGACGAATGTTAAAGAGCAATTATAAGAATGTATAACTATGAATGAATTTGAAAGGGAAAAATAAAAAAGAAGAAACTCAGTTTGGAAAGGGATTTGGCCCTTGGGATCCACGGGGCATCTCCACGGATGCCCCCCGTTTTCTTGCCCCCCACGGGCTCTGCTTCCCCACCTTCCTCTACTCACCTGGGCTTCAGTCGGTGGTGGCGTCAGGTAGCTGGTGCCCACCACGATGACTGCAGTCAGGAGACACAGCAGGGGAGCCAGGTGGAGGTAATGCAGGTCCCTCATCAGCGAAGGCCGATGGTCCGGGAGGCCGCAGCGGGGGACGGGGTAGGCAAACTCCAAGACCATCCGGCTCAGCCCCACGGCCAGCCCCACCATCAGGCCCCAAAAGGCCCCCTGCACAAGAAAACCGTCTAGATCAGGGGCCTCCAACCTTGGCAACTTTAAGACCTGTGGACTTCCAACTTCCAGAATTTCCCAGCCAGCGACGCTGGGAGTCGAAGTCCACAGGTCTTAAAGTTGCCCAAAAATTGGACACCCCCTGCCTAGACTAAGGGTAAGACTTGTGGACTTCAGCTCCCAGAATTCCCCAGCCAGCATTCCCCAAACAAGGCTATGGGAAGAGTCCTTCATTGAGGTTCCCGCACCTTCCACTCTGAATGCAGGTGAGCCAAACATGGCCACCATCTTCTCCAAGTGTAGCTTCCTATAACCACCACCCAACACACCACAAGGCTCTCCTGAAATGGGGCCAATGGTTTTGTACACTGGCCAGGTGTGCAAGTTGCTGCATGGATTGGTTTCGCCTCTCCGAGCGTTGTTGGGGCAGCCAGAGGTTTGGCATTGTTGAAGGCGCGCACGCACGCACACCGAAGTCACCTGCTCATTGGCTCTCTTCCAAAACACGGCCAGGAGGAAGACGGCGGTGACGGGAGGGGCCAGGTAGCTGGTGACCGACTGGATGTAGATGAAGAGTTGGCCACTGTTGGAGCTCTGCAGGATGGGCAGCCACACCACACTCACCGCCACCAGGACGACAGTCACCACCCTGCCGAAGCAGCAAAGGCACAAATCATTCTGCCTGCCCCATCTGCCCCTGTGCACCTCCCCACTGTTCCGTGACCCGTCAAAACCGCGGAGGACAAAATCGCGCTCGACGAAAGCGCGCATTTGACGTCATCACAGCGCGACGAA